GAGAGGAGAGGAGAGGAGAGGAGAGGAGAGGAGAGGAGAGGAGAGGAGAGGAGAGGAGAGGAGAGGAGAGGAGAGGAGAGGAGAGGAGAGGAGAGGAGAGAAAGCAGGCTGAGCAAGCCTTGAGGAACACACCAGTAGGCAGAGGCCTTCCATGGCCCCTGCATCAGCTCTGCCCCAGGTTTTGGCCCTGACTTTTGTCTGTGACGGTCTGCTGTGGAAGTGTAAGGGAAATAAACCCTTTCCTCCCCAAGTTGCTTGTGGCCATGGTGTTTCATCACAAGAGAAACCCTAACTAAGACACATCCTGCTCCAAGGCACAGGGAAGACTGCAGAAGAATGTAGAAGCCAGAGAAGCAGAGTAGAACACAGACTTCTGGGGGTCTCCTGGCTCTCAAACTCACATCAGGTGTGGTCTGCGCTAGGCTCAGTGACACCCTGCTGTGTAAGGAAGGATTAGGGTCTCATGACATCACCTGTCCCTCAGGTCCTGTCTTCATCCTCTGCCTTGAGTTCCTGCTTTGACTTCACTTCACAGTGGACTGTAAACTCTAAGAAGAAGACAGGAGAATACATCATAGACCTATCCAATAGAGGCAATTCCTCAGCTGAGGTCCCCTCCTGCCAGGTGGCTCTAATTTGTATCGATTGAAAAAAAAAAAAAAAACCAAGCCCAGTGGTGCTAACCCCAGTGCACAGGAGGCAGACACAGGAGGATTCCTAGTTCAAACCCAACCTATTCTACACAGGAAGGTCTTATCTCAAAGATACACATAGACACGTGTAAATTTTACTGTTAAGCCTAACCAACCAGAAAAATAATCTCCCACAATCGACTTAAAACAGAACTATTTTGTATTTCTATATTTAGAAAAATCATCCGACAGTGTAGGAATGTGGCAGATTTAGCTACAGTTTTACCTACTGTAGATCATTTGGATAGAAGTCACACTAAATTTAGTAGCTTAGAGTAGAGGAGGTGACATTAAGTTAAAGGCAGCTGGGAGCTACGCCTCTAACTCTGGCAAACTCATTCTCAGGCTTGTGAAGTCTAGATGTTATTTCTCAAAGAAAACGACTAATCCCTGCTGCATGGCTCTACCTGATGCCCCTTAGGAGACTTTACTGCTTTTTGTACAAGTACCAAAGAGGCAGGTAGTGAACCATCTCCAAGACAAGACCTGGGCTTCAACAACTTATTGGACAGACTGTTAGACAACTTGGTGGGGGCTGTGTGCATAACGAAGAGAAGAACTGAGACACTGAGGAACAAGACATCCCAGACTGGAGATGGTGGTAGCATTGTGTAGCTGTTCAGTGGATGAAGGAGACCCCGGAGGACATATTTTAGCCAAGATCACGCAAAAAGTCAGTTCATCGGACAAACAACTTTGTCTCTGATGAGATGAGATAGCCAAATAATATTCCAGGGAGTTAGGTTAGGAATAAATTGGAGATGTGTTTTATAACTGAAAAACTCATTAGGTATAGTGATTGTTTTAGGGCTAAAAAGTATGTAAATATTTTCTTATGTAAATAGTGAATGAATATTTGGACTCAGGATTATTCTGGACTCCTCTGAATGTCTACCACGCACATATATCTGGGTAGTAGGAGGGGATGAGAATTAGGGAGATACGGACGATCAAGGAATAAAGCCAAGCTGGCTGGGGAGATGGCTCAGCAGTGTGTACTGCTCTTAACCCAAGTTAAGCTCAGTTCCCAGCACGCACACAAGACAGCTCACAACCAGCAGTAACTGTAGCTTCCCAGAAGCCAGTGCCCTCTTCTGGATGCTGAGGGCACCTTCACTCACGCACACATGCACGTACACATACACATGTACATACACACATATACTTACACATAATTTAAAAAAACAAATGTTTTTAAAAGGCATAAAACCATATTTCTTCTTGGGTTTTGACCAGATAAAATGTAGGGTAACTGGTAGCTAACTGGTAAAGAAGGCAAACTGTAGACCCATGACCCCTAAATATCCAAAATATATAACCAAACACCATATTTGTCTTTCTGGTTCTGAACTACCACACCCAGGATGGGCTTTTTTTTTCTAATTTCTTTCATTTACCTGATAATTCTATTTTTTAAGTGACTGAGTGATTAGACATACCTTTGTGGTAAATGTGTTACATTTTCTTTACCCGTTCATCTGTTGATGGACGTCTAGACTGTTTCCAATTTGGGGCTATTACAGATAGAACGTCCTGAGCTTGGCTGAACAGGGGTCTCCATGGTAGGATGAAGTGTCCTTTGGGTGGGTGTATGGCCAAGAATGGTACAGTTGGGTCTTGAAGTAGATAGATCCCCATCTTTCTGAGGACCCACCACCCTGCTTCCCACAGTGAGTGTACAAGTTTGCACCCCCACAAGCAAGAGCTGTGTGTTCCCTTTTCTCCACATCCTCCACAGAATAAGCTGTCATTTGTTTTATTGATCTTGGTCAATCTTATTGGTTATTTTATTGATCTTGGCCAATCTGACTGATTTTTTTTTTTATTGAACTTGGACAATCTGATTGGTGTAAGAGCAAAGTAGTTTTGAATTTACATTTCCTCGATGACTAAGGATGCTAAACATTTCTTTAAGTGCTTCTCAGTCATTTGAATTTCCTCTTTTGAGAATTCTCTGTTTGGGCCTGTATCCACCTTTTTAATTGGGTTATTTGTCTGCTTGATCTCCGATGTTTATAGTTCTTTATATATTTTAGATATTAGCGTTCTATCAGATATGTAGTTGGCAACAAGTCTTTTCCTATTTTATAACCTGATGTTTTGTCTGAATCATGGTGTCCTTTGCCTTACAGATGCTTCTTAGCTCCACGTGGTCTGATTTATTATTAACTATTGTCCTTGGTGCCTAAGCTGTTGGTGTCCTGTCCAGAAAGTCTTTTCCAGTGTCAATAAGTTCAAGCCTGTTCTCCACTTTCTCTTCTGTCAGATTCAGTATGACTGGTCTTATGCTGAGGCTTTGATCCACTTCAACTTGAGTTTTGTGCAGGTTGATAAATATGGACCTATTTGCATTCTTCTACATGCAGCTATCCAGTTTGACCAGCACCATTGGTTAAAGATACTGTCTTTTTTCCACCAGTGTGTATTTCTGGCTTCTGCACTAAAAATCAGATGCCCATAGGTGTGCGGTATTATTTCTGGGTCTTCAATTCTATTCCATTGATCAGCATGTCTGTTTTTATGTTAAGTAAATACCATGCTATTTTTATGTTAAGCCATCAATAAGCAAGCTACGATCTGTATAACCACAGAGAGCGTAGGGCTAGGGTCAAGGGGGACAGATCCTCGAGTGAGTCTCATTGGGGAAGTAGCCCCTCGTTAGGACAGACCCAGTGCCCAGCATAGAGTCAAGACAAAATGAGCTTGAGGAATCTCTGGATGTTCTGTGTCCTGTAATGTTAAGTCAGGCATTTTTTCTTTTAACTTTAAAGATTCTCTGTGTATATATCATGGCTTCTGGATTTAAGTCTCTATGGGATTCCTGTGTGTGCAAACGTGTACGTCTCTGGGTCTACATGCACTCTTGTACTTTTCCTTTAATTCTTCTTCCCGTTTTGTTATTTTGTCCTACGATGATTTGTTTCTTTATCTTATTATATTTTATTATGTTTTTATTATTACTCCTTAGGTTCCTGTTTGTTTTCTTAGAAGAGACAGAAAGGGGATAGATTCAGGTGGGAGAGCAGGTGGGAGGGCAGGTGGGGAGATACTGGGAAGACTAAGGGGAGGGGAAACCATGTTACATTATATACATAATATACTGTGTAAAAAAACATTTTAAATAAAAGAAAAAATATGCATAACATAATAAGCCAATTAGTAATCAAGCAATGCCTAAATCTATCATTCTTCTTGTAAAAAAAAGAACTCTCCTTCACAAAAGTATACTTAGCCACTGCCATCCTAGGATTTGAACCCCCAATCTGAAGTGCACGTGCTGGAAAAGTGTCAGTGTGGGAAGGTAGGACCTAGTGAGGGCTGTTCTGAATTATAGGCTTTCCTTGGAGACTTCAGCCTTTAATATCTCTCTTTTAGACATTCAGTCGCCCTTCCATGTTCTGCTGTGTGGTGAAGAAACCCGAGACGCTCACCAGAAGCCAAGCAGAACCACTGCCATGCTACTGGCTGGCCAGTCATCACATCCAGCGACCAAAATGAGCCTCCAATCAGCATGGAAATTATTCGGTCTCAGGGACTCTGTTACAGAAACAGAAAACAGACCAGTATAATTGTTTAAAACAAGAGGCAATTACACTGCGTCTTGTTTGATTTTGTTTTATTCTAGGTGTGAATCACTTGCATAAATAGGTGTGTCCTTAAATGGCCAGATCATGAAGCCAGAAAACCTAATTTGAACCCAAGGATGGATGTTCATAAGACATTTCTCTATTTTTGAAAGCGTCCCAAGTTAGTCTTATGAGTAATCAAATGAAACCTATCTTCCAATCCCCACGTCACAGACTAAGTCTTTCTGGGTGGTCTTTCCTACCTACTAGTGGTAAAGACAAAGTTTTTCTACAGCTCAGAGTATAAGTAAAATCTGTGTGAACCTAACCAAAAGTTTTGAGAACCTCCTAAGCAGACCCCCTAGGGTCCTCTGGGACATGCCTAATAGAAGGATGTGAAGATGGGGCTGACTGATGAGGACACAAAGGTCCCTGTACCCAGAGATCATCTGGTTTCTAGGGAAACACACACTGTGCCCTTTCCCAATCCCTCCAGGGCAAGTAAGCAGCTTTATTCTACCAAATGTTTCCCATGATGCTCTGCCTTACCTCAGATCTAAAGACAATGGACCCAAACTAGAACCATGAGCCAAAATAAATCTATCTCCTTTGAACCAATCTTCTCCGATGAGAGGCTGGACCCCCTAAGGTCTCTTATCCCATTTATTCTGAAGCCACCAGACAAAAAGTGATGTCTAACGAAGTTACCAGAACAGAGCCCACACATTAAGGAGCCATGGGCCAGCTCGCTAAACAAAAGAAAGGAAGGATTATAGGTTCCAGGAGGCAGCAATCTGATAGGCTTTGGACAAGGGGCTCTGTGAAATGAATCTCAGGCTTAGACTGCAAAACGAGTGTTGGGTTCCTCTGTTTCCTGGGGAAGATCCATTGAGAATAATGCAAACAGTTTCCACCATCCCTCAGTTGCATCTTGGGACTGGTCCCAAAGGAAGGAGTCTATGTATGGCTATGTATGCCTTCCTATTTAATCTTACATGCCCCTGTAACTGAAGCACTGTGTGACAGTTGTTGGCATTAGGAGAGGAAGTGTCAGTTTTCTTCAGGGATGTGACTCCTAGTAAGTACATCAATCGGGCTACCACTGGATGGCCCCTCTGAACAGCACAAATTAGATCCAACAGTATATACATATACATATATGTGTGTGTGTGTGTGTGTATGTGCAAAATAGAAAAATGAAGAAGCTCAAAGTTGAAGCAAGCAAGGTAGGGAGTGAGAGTCTGGTTTAGAGGAGTCAGGAGTGGGGTGTAAGACTTTAGGAGCTTCATGAACTGAGAATTTAGCTCAAGGGTAGGTTTCCTGCAGAGTTGACGTGAGGCCCTGGGACCTGGAAAGGATCCCCAGCAAGTGTGTGTGGGAAAGATAAGGAATTACACCACACATGGATTCTGTAGGCCCTATCAGAAAGACCTTTGGACAGGGAACATTTGACATCTCCAGTTAGAGAGCTAATATTTATTTTCTGAACAAGTCATGTCACACACAAGCATGTGATTACTGTAAGAAATAAATTCTGATGGTTCCGTTTTTTGTAAAGAGGAGTCCGGCCAGCATCGGCCTAGTAACAATTAAACAGAAAACACTAATAATGCCACCAGCCTACTTCCATACAACGTACACTGAGAACTAAACTCCACCAAGTTACCCCTACGCAGCCAAACTAGGAATTTAGAGCAGAAAATTACTGACAGCCGATCTTGCCTACAAAATCATGTGACCAATAAGCTTTAAAATAAACAAGATGTAAGACGGAGGAGGGACAAGCCCATGCCCTCTTGAGAAAAGGAATGACAGAGAAAATAATAAGCCCTGAGTAATATGTTGGGCTGTGTGTCCTGATTACACAGAGGATGTGGGAAAGGAGGAGGGGCTTACCTGTGTTAGGGCTTAGAACTGTCCTCTGTGTTCAGACACCAGCAGTTCCCCAAGGACTCTGGGTCTTTAGTGCTCACTGTCATGAGGTAACAAAGCTGTTTTGTTTCTCCTGGTTGGCCGCAGGCCCAAGATACCGCTAAATTGTAGGTTTCTTTGTAATTCAACCTGCCCCTGCTTTGCAGATTGTCCATATCCCTCCTGCTGCTAATTTCAAAATTCAGATGCAATTAATATTACTTGCTATTCCTTGCAGGCCTCCAGTCTCCAGTGACCCTGGGCCCCAGGCATGACTAAAGAAAGGAAGTGCTTTAGCCCTGGGGCTGTTTCTGTTTGTAGAGAGTGAAATTTCGTCCTTTGGGGATTTGAACAATCAAACCCTTTTTGTGACTTTTCATAGCAGCGCAGGTCTGTAGTTCAAACTTATGACACAGAAACTTTTAATTTATTTCTCTTTAGGCTACTTGACAAGAGACCCAGACCCTACCCCCCTCCAGAGAGAGACAGAGAGACACAGAGACAGAGAGACACAGAGAGACAGAGAGACACAGAGAGACAGAGAGAAAGGGAGGGAGGGAGGGAGGGAGGGAAGGAGGGAGGGAGGGAGACAGAGAGACACGGAGAGACAGAGAGAGAGTGAGAGAAAGAGAGAGAGAGAGAGAGAGAGAGAGAGAGAGAGAGAAAGGGAGGGAGGGAGGGAGGGAGGGAGGGAGG